AGAGTGTAGAAGGAATAAAAAAGTAAACAGTAAACTGAGAAAGAAATTAAGGAAACCACATCTTTCACAAAAAAGAAAAAAGAAAAAAAGAAAGAAAAGAAAGAAAAAAAGAGTTAGGAATCAATCTAAAGGAGGAAGTAAAAATTTACATTGAAAACCACGGTACTGTCTGTTGTGGAGGTGCATGACAATAAACCCAGCACTCAAAAGGCTGAGGCAGGAGGGTTGCCACAAGTTTGAGGTCAGCCTGAACTGCACAGAGAAACTTTGTCTCAAAAAGAAAAAGAGGGCTGGGATATAGCTCAGTGGCATAAGTGCTTGCCTGACAAGTGTCAGGTCCTGAGTTCAATCCCCAGTACCACACACACACACACAAAAAAAAAAAAAAAAAAAAAAAAAAGAAAAAGAAAACTGAAATACTCTAAAAAAGATCAAAGAGGTTATCAGAAAATGGAAAACTGTCCCCTATTCTTGCATAGGATGAACCAACACAGTGAAAATGATCATAATTCCAAAATTTTTATACAGATTCAATGTAAATCCCAATCAAAATATCAATAGCACACGTCACAGAATTTGAAAAAAAAATCTTAAAATCATTTGGTAACAGAAGAGACAGAACAGCAAAAGCAACTCTGGGGAACAAAAGGCAGGAGCATCATGATCCCCAACTTGAAATTATACTAAAAAGCTACAGTGATAAAAACAGCATGGTGCTGGAAAACAAACAAAAACAAGCCACACACACACACACACACACACACACACACACACGCACACACACACACAGCAGATGCAAAGATCAATGAAACAGAAGATGCAGAAACAACTCCAAACACACTCAACCACCTTATTTTTGACATAGGGGCCAAACCTTCACAAGAAGAAAGAAGCCACTTTAATGGTATTAGGAAAACTGGCTTCCCACATGCCAACGATTAAAACCTAGGCCTGTATCTCTCACTATGCACTAAACTAAAATAGAAATAACTCAAAGATCTAAATATTAAAACAGAAACACTGGAAGAATAGGAAAACTTGAAAACAGGGTAGGTAAAGATTTTATGAACCAAACCCCAAACTCCAAGGCATCAACAACTGGCATCTCATCTTTTCGTTTTTTATGTATTTGGTACAAGGTCTACAGGGTCTTACTACATAGATCGGAGTCATAGTGATTCTCCTGTTTTCAGCCTCCCAAGCGCTGGGATTACAGGCGTGCGCTACCTCACCCAGTCTCAATAGCTGTCTCAGCATGCCTCAGGGGCAGGGTATGCATGGCATGGTGTGGACTGAACCCCAGCTACTGTGCTCTGCTTAAGCAGGCACTTTAGTGTGCTAAGCTATCTGGCCGGCCCTTGGCATCTCATCTTACTAAAATGCTTTCTGCACAACCAAAGAAACCACCAACAGTGTGAAGAGACAACCCACAAAATGGGAAATTTTTTTTACCAGCTACTCCTCAGACAAAGAACTAATATCTATAATATGTTAAGAACTCAAAATAAACCTCCTGAATTTAAAGGCTCAATCCCAAAATGGGCATCAGAAATGAATAGGTACTTCCCAGATAAACAAGTACAAATTGTAAATAAACAAGTGAAAAAATGTTCAACATTACTGGCCATTTGAGAAATGCAAATTAAAAAAATTTAACCTAGAAAGAACAGCTATTATTAAAAAGTTAACCAACAACAAATAATGACGAGGCTATGGGGAAAAACAAACCTCCATGGTAGGTGGGAGTGTATACTGACACAATGATTCCTCAGAAAACGAAAACTGGAGGTTCCAGTGACCCAGGTGTTCCTTTTCCAGGTATCTTCCCGAGTTAACAGCATCATACCCTGAGACATTTTAGGTAAATGGACGCACCTTGGAAATACAATGTTAAATGAAATAAACAAGAGCCACAACTTTAAACACTGGATTGTTTTTCTTGGGTGAAAAACCCAAAGGGTAAAAATTGCCCAAAACGGATAACAGACATAGGGAAGGAGAAAATGTTCAGATGGAAAGGGGAACAACAGGACGTGGGAGATGGAGGGAGTAGGGATTTTAAAAATAAAGAAGGATGGAGAGAACAATAGAAACAAAGTTTTCTAGGACTGGGGAGATAGCTCAGTAAGGTGTAAAGCACCTGCTTGGCAAGTGTAAGATCCAGAGTTTGGTTCCTGGTAACAAAAACAAAACAAAACAATGAACAAACAAACAAAAAAAAAATGAAAGTTTTAGTAAAGGGAAAGGGGAAGATAAAGAAGAGGAAGGGAATGGGAGAAAAATTAAGTTATATTATGTATAAGTACACACTCCTTATGATGAATGTGACCATGATACATCTCAAATGTGTACAAGTAACATCCATTTTTATTATTTACTTATTTTTTGTATTTAGTACAGGGTCTAAAGGGTCTACAGGGTCTTACTACACAGATCAGATTTGTAGTGATTGTTTTCAGTCTCCCAAGCGCTGGGATTATAGGCATGCACCACCATGCCCAGTCTCAAGCTCTGTGTGCCCTTGGGGCAGGGCCAGCATGGCAGGCTGGGGATCGAACCTCCGACCCCTGCATCTGCCTAAGCAGGCACTTTAATCCACCGAGCTATAATATTTATTTTTAAAAAGGTTTAACATTACTGATGGTACCGTAGACCCTTCCATGTAGGTAATCCACATTCTCCAGTACCCTGACCAAGTATTTACTATGACTGAATTTTTAAATAGTTACCACCTGCCTATGAATCTTTAAGACTGTTGCTTTTCTTTCATGACCTACGTTAGGGAACTACATGGCCTGAAGAGCCAAACAGTAACTCCTCTTCTCATCCTGCATTTCCATATGTGTAATTTTTTGGATATGTAACTAGAAATATTTTACAATGTGCTTCACATTTATAAGGCTTGAATCAATGAATGTGTGCATTTTACACAAAAAAATCATGAAATTTGTAGTACAACTTTTATGATTAGGTCTCGTAAGTCTAGAGAAACGTTTCTTCGCTGGACGACTGATGAAAACTGGAAAGTTGGGATCTTTAAATAAAACTTTTAACAAAAACCTTAAATGAAGTCACCTTGACTAGTTTAACTAGTATACTACTTGGGATTGGGGTAGAGGAATGAAGATAAAGGTGTATTTTGGGGTTAGGGTTCCTGCCCAGTCTCCACCCCTGAAGGTTAACTTTTCCAACCTCAGCTTCTTCCAGAAATTCTAAAATGAAGACATTAGGAACAGTGGCTGAGGTGGGAGGATCACAAATTCAAGCCCAGCTGGGGAAACCTGGTGAGACTTTGCCTCAAAATAAGAAAGAAAAAGGGCTGAGGGTGTAGCAGGGCTTAGGTTCAGGCCCCAGAACTGCTAAATAAATAATTATGAAGTTCAGAGCCTGAAGAGGAAAAAAACCATTTTCTTACACTATGTCTCTGCAACTGACAACAGTGCTCAGATGAGGGGTTATCCTGACGCCACTATACTAAGACACAGTAAGATGTACTAGTGTCTAGGGAGTATCAGAAAAGAGACCTAACATACCATGAGTTCTTTCTACAGACTAGAAATATATGCCACTATTTTGGTAACTTTTATTTCTTCTCTCCTTGGGTAGAGGCAGTGCTGATGAAATTATTAAAAGCCCTGAATCCCCAGTCACATGTGTGAGGAAATGTAGAATAATGAAAATTACTGGCAGCTTTTATTTCTTCAGACACACTGTGTCCCAAAGATGCTTCCATGTTCAGGATACACCCATTTACTGGTTTCCTCATGCAATGTCTCTAGCACCCACGCTGTGACTGTGTGGAGTTTACAGATGAGGTGACTGGAGCTCAGTGTCACAGGCCTCCAGGCTATACCTGTGCCCAGCACATCAAACAGGAGCACTCTGGCACCCTGGCTACAGGGACCACACACCACACTTGCTATTAATACGCCAAGGATATCTGATCTCACTACAAAACAGTCACAGAATGAAGAGACCTTGGAGGTAATATAACTCTCTGGATACCTCATTGGTTGAAGTCCTTGGAAAAGCTAGAAGTCCTTGGAAGAGCTGGAACACGCTGGTGTCTTTTCCACTTGAAGTGATGGGAATGTGAGGTTAGGTGATCCCTAAATCTGCTGATGCCCTCTGGAACAGACTAGATATGAGCAGCAAGAGATACCTTTGTACAAAGGTGCTTTATGAACTGCAAGTGCTGTCCTACGCAAACTCCGAGAGCAGCCTCCGTGTTACGAGGGAGTCCGCTGAACAGCTGGGTGTCACTTCCAGTGCCTGGGTGAGGGCGGAGTCAGCAAGCTTGGGCTTAGTTTGTGAAGTATCTGTAGTCGCAGCACAGGCCTCTGTGTGGATGGTGCCCAGGGCCTTGTGCACGGTAGACACACACTTTGTGAGCCACTCTCAAGGGCTGTAACTTTGTTTTTTATAACACAACTTGTTTTCTGACTCTGAAAGCATCCAGCCCTTTTCCATGATGAATGGGTGACCCAGAAGGACTTTTCATTGTATCCTAAACCTGGTTGTTGGTGGAATGACGGGCCTCAGGCCAGATCACTATAGCTCATCTTGGTTGCTTCTCTCTCGGGAAGACACCCACCGGCTGACAATCACCTCCTGCAATCCAGCAAACACAGAGGTGACTGCATGCCTAACAAAGAAGTGAAGGAATGTGCTAAGCACTGGCAGCACAGCCCTGCTTCGCAGACAGCTGCAGGGGCAGTGAGCTGGCACCCTGGCCATTCCTGGGACAGTGGGATCCTCCATGCAGACAGAATCCACCATCAGGGCTATATGAGGACAGAACTCTGGGCCTTAGCCTGGCATCCAGCCTTTTAACCCTTCAGTGCCTAGTGATCCATTTCTGGAATGCCCATAACAATGGAGCAGAATGAAATGTGTTCCCCTGATCCTTGCACATTTCTAGGAAACATGAATTTCATGCAAAAACTCAGTAAATTTCAATCTCTGGCATAAATGAGTTTTGGAGGCCTGTTCTTCTTTAGCTGCCTAGACTGGCCTCAAATTTGTGATCTTCCTACCTCAGCCTCCCAGGAGCTGGTAATACCAGCATGCAAAAATCTTAAAGATTAAACTAGGGGCTGGGGAGACACCTCAGTGGCATAAGCTCCAGCTTGCCAACTGCAAGGTCCTGAATTTGATCCCCAGTACCGAAAAAAAGAAACACAAAAACCCACTGAACTGGCCTCAGCTATGTGCTAGCTCAGCATGGGGGAGGCCCTGGTTTCCATTCCCAGCACAGGAAAAAACAACGTTCAAGGTGGAGGAGCCAGAGAGAAGAGCTGTCATTACAAAAGACCTTTGCATTTCCTGGCACCACCTGTTCCAGAGAACACAATGCAGTACATGGGCCTTCAGGACATGTGAGTGCTACTGCGAGGGACCCACCTGAACCTTAATTCTCCTCAGACATTCTGGGGACTCCATGTCTTCATCTGTCATGGTAGAGGGTTTAATCAAGTAGCACAGCATAAGTTCCTGTGGGGGAGGCAAAGGCCATTGCATATATCACAGTGACAACAGAAACATAGGCACCTGTCCCCATTGCCTCCTGCTGTGTCTGGGAGGTGCCGGTACAGAGGCCCCTGGAGCACGACAGGGTATCCTGGGCACCTGAAGCCAGTGCTTGGCTTTCCTGCTAAGGAGCTGCTAGTCAGTGACCACTGCCAGCGCTGAGGTGCAGTCAGGCAGGCACTGATTACAAACCGTGTAGACCTCTACTGCCCTGCAGCCTTAACCTCCCACCGCCCCCCCAACACTGCCAGTGGGACAAAGTGGGGGAAGGTGGTCACGGGTTGTCAGTCAACAAACGCTGGGGTGGGAGGGATGGTGCTGGGGCTGGCCTTTGTGAAGGCCAAGCAGGTGCTGTCTCCCTGAGTGACATCCCCAGACAAAAGCTGGAGTTGGTGATTATCCTAGTGTGAGAGGAAATTTCCCTCCTATCTCTCCTATCTTTGCTGGAGGAGAATCAGAGGCCAGAGGGGCCATGGTCTGGCACTCGTCACCTGTTGTCTCTCAGGATGGGGCGACATGGTGGCTACGTGCTGAGCTGCACTTTTCAATCCTCCCTCCCTTTCTCTTTCAAGAGATCTGCAAACTCAGACAAGAGTGAGGAGCCAATGCTTGGGTTCTCTGCGAATGTGTGAGTGATGACACAACTGTAAGAGGAGGAAACAGCCCATGGAATGGTGACAGCTGGGAAGGAAGGTGATGCCTGTCAGATGCCAGAGGACCTGGCGCCATGGCCCCACTGATGAGAGTGAGCGGAGATCAAAACAGAGCAGTGCAAGAGGGCAACTTCTGGCCCAGTAAACAGGCTTTTGCAAAAGACCCCAAATCTTCCAGCACTTCGCTGGCAGAAAAACCACTCTACTATATTAAAAAAAAATTGTGCTATTTTAGTGGTACTGGGTTGCCAAGTTACTGTGGGTTACCTTGGAGACATTGCCCGAAACTCTGCTGAGGGTCGCCAGTGACCTCCAAGTGAAAGGTCTACGGAGCGGGCCTGTGAAGCATTCATTCACGAGCTCCACGATGACAGAATAGCTGCGAAAGACCGACTGGCTCTGAGCACAGGTGAAGAATGAACCGCGCTGGGCCCTAGACACCCCACACTGCAGCTGAGAAAACACGGATGAAAATCCACAACAAGGAACAAAACCTCAGGCTGACTTTACACTCACTCCCAGGAAAAAACACAAATGTTTTTCCCAATATGAATACTATAAAGTCACTCGATCTTTAATACTCAGTGATGTTAAGATAAACAACTAGCACATGTGACCCATGTTTAACACCAAAACCCATGCTGCCATCACCTATCCATTCTCTCCGGACTGTAACTGTCAGTTTGCGGCATGCGCTCTCTTTTTTCACGGTGTGCAGTATGGATCCCAGGGGACCCCAGGGACCCCAGCGCCTAAGAGCTCTGCTCCTCCCTAAACTGAGCACTGACATTTAACATTCACTCCTACCACGGTCAAGAGGAACACAGATTTTAACTGTCTCCATGGTGTTGAAAACTGAATTAGAGGCTAGAAATCTCCCTGCATGCTTTAATTCACTAGGTATTTAATAACTGCTCCAAACCTTGCGTGGTAAAATGGAGGGCCTTTCCGATACAGCACTGTAAAGAAGAAAAGAAAATGTATAACCACTCAGATCAAAAGCACACTTTACAACCTGACATTTTTTTTTTACTTCTTGAAAGGGATGTGAACATCCAATTACTTATATGTGTGCTGGGCAATATACCGTCTGTCTCTTTAAAATCTGCCTTACTCCCCTCCCCTGAAAGAGGTATATTAAAAAAAAAAAATCTGCTGCCAAGGCCCTCACCCCTACCTCCCCACACCAATCCCTAAGGTAAAGTAGTGCTGTTTTTAAAACTCTAGCAGGGGGGAACCAAACCCAGCACCTCACCCTACCGCTGAGCAGCACTCCCTCTGCAAGTGACTCCTGCCTTGCCTCTTACCTTGATGTGAGAGCATGAAATTACACCAAGAGTGTGGTGTTCACACCCTGCCTACCAACATTTGTTGTTCATTTCAAATCAAGTGACTTCAGAGTGCTTGAGTGGCTGCCCTGGCCAGGTGTTAGTCTCATGCATAGGTTTAAGAAATTTCATGTTCAAGTGAAATTAAAAACAAACCAACAAAACAAAAAAACACCAGACGTGGTGATGCACATCTATAATCCCCACAGTTAAGAGGCTGAGGCAGGAGGATCACTGTGAGCCAGCCTGGGCTATGTAGTGAGTTCAAGGCCAGCCTGTACTATACTGAGATCCTACCTCAAAAAATAACAAGCCATTATAACCATTCTCTTCAGCTAGGCATGTGTGTATCCTGCTCTCAAGGCCCAGGCAAAGGTGGGGTTGATTATCTTTGGGGTCAAGAGGTGCTCAGCCTGGGGCTTGGCCCTGAGGGTTCTGCAGGGTACTCTCTGCCCTGTGATAGTTAACAGTCCCGCAGCGAGTAAAAAAGCCTAGCTGACTGGATTAGCAGTCCTGGGCATGGCTCAAGACCCACCATGGCATGAGTGGCAGCAGCCACAGGGCTCACAATCCAAAGGGGAAGAAGAAAGGCTCACTTCTGTTTCTTGGAGGAGCTTCACTCTCTGGCTTTGCCTAGGATGTCATTTCCTGGCTTCCAGCACAGTCCCTCCAGCCTTCTGGTATGGAGGGACTCTGCAGTGAGCGCTAGGCCTTCCCCCCATGGATCCTTTGGCTCTCCAGCATGCAATGTCCTTTTATACCCTTCTGCACCTGACTCTGGGCAGCCACTGTAAGCCACCCTGTAAACCCAGATATATTTACTAATACACTGGCCGGCTGCTCACCAAACTCCCTACTCCTTCCTCCTGGCCAGAGCACAGCTCTGATTCCCAAGCAGCCAAGCAGGGCAGTCAGTGGGTGCTACTTCCGGGTTGGTCCCCGATGCCCTCCCAGGATGAGGTCTTATTGGCCCTTACTGAAGGCAACCACAGATGCTCTGCTAGAGACCAGAAGCCACAGGAAGTGCCCTGCGGTCCCAAAGTACCATTTGGAGTTCATGCCTGTTGTTGTTAAGCCCCTGATCCCTGGCGTGGACAAGTGACTCTGGCCATAGAAATCACCATCACTGCTATACAGGGACATCTGTCAGCTCTCGACTGCTCCCTGTACTGGAACCAATGCAGGCAAGTTCAAGAAAGAACTTCATTTCTCTTGAAGAATTGACAGAATTGTCCTTTTTAGTTAGATGAGTCACGTTGCTGACCAGCCACCCTTCAGGCTCAGGACAGCAGCATGAAGCTCAGGGCTGGGTGGGCTACCCTGCAGACACCCTGGCAAGCCCTTACCTCCTGTACTGCTAGTTTGTGTTTCCCATGGTCACATTTCCTTTTATTCCTCTGTCTTCCACTTAAGCAGCATTTAAAGTATCCAGCAAATTAGCTCGAAATCACTGTGGTACAAGCTTTAGTAAATATGTAAATATTGTATATGCAAACAATTCTCAACTTCCTGAGATTAGGTGGTGGAGGGAGATGGCCAGGAGAATTTCAGGGTTTGGTTTCCGGCCCAATCTCTGCCATGCTGAGTTGTTAACTTCTCCAACCTCAGCTTCTAAAATTCTAAAATGAAGGCACAGTCAGGTACAGTGTACAGTGGCTAAGGCAAGACAAACACAAATTGAAGCCCAGCCTGGGCAACTTGGTGAGACCTTGTCTCAAGAAAAACAAAAAAAAAAGCCTGGGGACACAGCTCAGTGCAAAGGTCCTGGGTTCACTCCTCAGTGCTGCTAAGTAAGTAGGAAGTTCAGAGCATGATCTTAGCCTCAGGGAGACGGAAGCTTAGCAGTGCCAGGACCATGTGACCATGTCTATTTCCTACTGAACACACGAGCGTGAAGGCCCAAGTATTTGCATGATGCCTGGCAAACAGTAAGTGTTCAATAAGATGATGACAAGAACTTGCAGGAGAAGATGAAACTGCTTCACCAAAGCACCTCCCGTGTAAAGGTGGAGAAATGCTGGGCCTTTCACACAAGATCAGGGAGCCAGGAACGTGGCCAGGAGTGCCGAACATGGACGGGCTCTTGGGTTCTATTCCCTCATGGCTCACCCTCCATGAGATTTACTTTTTTTTTTTTTTTTTCTGAGACAGGGTCTCAGGCCAGCCTTGTGCTCACTTTTGTAGCCCTAGGCTGGTCTCGAACTTGCAGAGATGCTCCTGTCTCAATCTCCCAAGTGCTGAGATTACAGGCATGTGCCACTTACATTTAAATTTAAAAAATAAAATAAGGTCTGAAAGAATGCGGTTAAAGGAGGGGGAGAATTGCCACGGTAAAGAAGAACAAAGGGAGAAAAGCTCATGCTTCTTTACAGATGAAAGCTGACACACATGTGAAATGACCAGGGGAAAGGACGGCACAGTTCACTCAGATGCCCACGGGCTGCCCAGGGAGTCAGCTATCCACAGTTCCTCATTACAGATAATATGTTAATTAACAAAGGGGAAAATGTAACTTTAAAGCAGACAGCTGACAGTGGTCATCTCAGCCAAGTGATAGCCAGGGCGCGACTCCTGTCCTGATATCACATCTCTCCTGAAATATTACAGGTTGTGTCTAGATGTCTCCCCAAACCCTCATATCATAGGTAGGGCTTTTTGCGAGTGACAGGATCTGTGTGCGGAAGTGGATTAAGGGTGTGTGGTCCTGGATTAGTTCACTAACCAGCTTTGTATTGTTCTGGGTATGTACAAAAATACCACACAAAAGGCAGGTAGCCTGGATGCGATAAAAGGGATAGGATCGCTGGCTGGAGTTGCTTGCTGTCTCCGGCCTGCCAGGCCACAGACTGTTCTCCTCTGTGAAGCCCCTCTCCTGACCAACCCTGCCTTGGAGCCAGAAAACTATGGACTGAAACCTCTACAAGCTACGAGCCAAACTAAACCCTTCCTCCTTTAGGTGCCAGACAGATGTTTTGTTTCAACAAGGAGAAAAATAATTCAGACACAGGAAGTACATATGTCATCTACATGTACCGAAAAGACTGATAAGGAGGGGACACTTAGGCTTTTGGAGAATGGGGACTATCCTATATGGAGTTCCCAAAAGAGTCAATGTCATGAATAATAAACAAGCTGACATAGAAACCAATTTAAATTAGAAATGCTCAGAGAATACAGGGTATTACTTGGTAGCCCCCAAAACATATGACCATGTGCTAATCCCTAAGACTTACAAAGGTGACCTTACTTTGGACATGGGATCTTGGCAGACGTACTGGAGTATGGCAGTGGCTCCAAATTGATGACCGTCAGGTCACTGTTGCCAGTGCTGCTCCAGGCTGCTCCAGCAATGCACTTTGACTGTTTACTTAAGGGAAGAGTCTCTGGCAAGGTATGACTTTTCTAAAGCCTCTCTATCATGAGTCCTTATTGCAGTAAGAAAACAACTGTGAAAAGGGACTGATTTGGGCCTAATTTAGGTTGGCAGTTTTTTTTTTTTTTTTTTTTAAACCTTTTCTTTCCTGCATTAGGGATGGAACCCAGGGTTCTGTACATGCTAGGCAAGCACTCAACCCCAGCCATTCTTTACTTTTAATTTTGAAACAGGATTTTACTTAAGTTGGCCACATGAAAGTCAAACTTAAGACTGTCCTGCCTTGGTGTCCAGAGTAGCGGGGGTCACAGACAGGTGCCCTGTGCCAGTCACTGGCACTTGGAACACTATTGCTAGGAAGCAGTGGTACTGCCCACCTGGAAAGAGGCAGAGGTGGGGAAGGTCCTTCCTGTTGGAGGTCATGTGCATTTCCCATGTGAATTATGCAAGTGACCACCAGCAGGTGCTGTCAACTGGAGCTAGGAAATGAGCACTCTTTCTTTACCTTTTAAAAACTCCACCATCCACCCATTGGTCTTTTTATCCATCCTTCCAATCATCCTACTAGGTATCTGCTTGCTCGTTTATTTATTATTTGTGTTCTGCTGTACTGAGAACTGAACCCAGGGCTTCAAACCCCAGCCCAAGGCAGTTTATTTCTAGACCGGGCAAGTTCTCTCCGGAGCCCTCCCCACCTCTGGCCTGGGCACTAAGTGTAAATGGGAAGCCCAGGACAGCATCCTCTGCCCAGGGTCCTGTATGCACACTTCATCACCTGTCTATCTCTTCTTTTATGACTTTTTGTTTTTTAAAGCACGGTCTTGCTGTGTAGCCTAGGCTAGCCAGACTTGAACCTAATGTCTTCCTGCCTCAGGCTCCCAAGTGCTTGGACTACAGGTGTGCACCATGGTGCCTGGCTCTCCTTTACCTGTCTTAGGCTGTGCAGTCCCTAAGTTCCCTTTTGTATTTATTTCATGTCTGGCTTCCTGCAATCATGAGCCGGAACCCAGGGTCCATGTTCCTGAGGCACCTGGAAATGATTGTGGGCTGGTGACCCTTCCCTCTCAGAAGGGAGGAGCAGAGTACCCAGCACATAGCACTGCACCCTGCCACTGTGAGAACTGAGATCGGGAGTGCACAGCAGGATGGCGCCCACACACAGTGAAGGCAGCCCACGGTGACAGCTGTGACTCGGGTGCCACCGCATGGTTACCCTTGCCTGGCACAGCAAGCAACTGAGGCCCATAGCATAGGACTGACTGAAACCACAGGGCTTAGGGCTGCCAGGAGGAGGGGCGCCAGGGGCTCTTTCAAGGGCAGAGGTGAGAAACCTATGGCACAAATGTCTAGGCTGGGGCTGCAGTTTCTCCCCTAGGTTCTCCCAACTGCATGAGTGTGACTCACCCTCCTTCCCACTCCAAATCTCTCTCTTTCCTTTTTTTTACTCTTTTTTTTTTGTTTGAAGTACTAGCATTGAAGCCAGGGTTATGCTGCCACTCTTCTACAAAACTCAAACTTTGAGACAGGGTCTCTTAAGTTGCTTAGGCTAGGCTCAAAATTTAATCCTCCTGCCTCAGCCTCCCAGAGTGCTCAAGTGCCCCAGATCCTTATCTAAGCCAGGGAAAATCAGCACTGGCTCATCAACTGCTCTCCCTGGTATCCCACATGGCCCTGCACACACCCCACCACGGGTTACTCACGCAGATCTGTCCCATACTTGAGCCCCGCCTTGGGCACCCAGCCCTTGCTCCGGAAGTAGTGGTAGGCCCCATAGGTTGTCCTGAATGTGGGCTGAATTGCTGTGAACGCTTGCCAAAGCTTTACGATCGTCAGAGGTTCCTATAGTCATTTAAAAGGAAGAGGCACTGTTTATATGTGACCCATTCCCCCTTGCCAGGGACCAACATCTGCTTGGTGTGGGGTCTCAGCAGCAGCAAAGGCAGTGGGGACAAATGCAGGGCCCTCCTGGGCACCCAGCCTTGGCTGTCCAATGTGGCAGCCACTACTCTCACATGGCTCATCCAACAGAGGCGCTCAGAGTGTAAAACACACATGAGTCCAACTGGGCAGGAGAGAGGGAAAAAGTGCAGGCTCTGGATATGTAGCATTAAATGAACTATGTAATATGATTATTAAAAATAGTTTTACTTGCTTTTAAAGCATTAATCAAGTAGGTTTTTCCTTTTTTTTTTTTTTTAAAGGTACAGTGTCATAATATAATCTGGGTTTACCTTCATCTTGTAGCGACCTTCCAGCCTGCTAGTGCTGTAACTATTGCCATGTGTACTACATGAGGCTCACCTGCGCTTTTTTTCAAATTTTAATGTGGCTACCAGGAAAATAGAAAATGATTCACTGGCCCCTACCTGAGGTATCTACTCCATTCCCAAAGGACACTGGGGCTCTGGGGGATGCAGAAAGACAGATTTCGAGGCTGGGGTTCAGCTCGGTGGTAGATGACATGCTTAGCATGCCTGTGTTCCACCCTAGCACCAGATAAGAGAAGAAAGGCTGGGAAGGACACCCTAGGCTAGAGAGTAGGGTGGGCTGTGTGCTCAAAGAGAACTGCTGAGGCTGAGAGTAGTGGGTCAAAACATTCCCAGGCCCTTTAGTGAGCAGCTGAAGTATGCCAACATGCCAGGCCACACTCAAAAATGAAATAGGTGTGTATGGTGGTGCATGCCGCTAATCTCAGCTTTGAGAAGGCTGAGGCAGGAGGACTGCAAATTGAGGCCAGCCTTGGCAAATCAGGAGGATCCTCTCTCAAAATGAAAATAAATAAAGTAAAACGAAGGGTAAGGGGTAGAGCCTGCATGAGGCCTTAGGTTCAAGCACCACTACTGCAAAGATAAAATCAAAAAGTAATTGTGTAAGTAAAATTTTCATTAAAATCCCGTAGGTGCCCCATTTCAGTCTTTGATGTTAGAGAACTGCTGCCTGCTGGCACAATGTAACTATCCGACTGCTTGCAGAGGTGTTGGAACAGGAGAGCTGGGGCAGAGGCTACTCCAAGGAACCAGGACCCAGTGTGACACAGGCTGGGCAAGGCGAGAGCTTTCTCTGCCTTCAGCACTTGAAGAACTGACTCCAGCTGGGGTCCAGCTCTGCAGCTCCTTGTGATGTGTTTGGTTTGTCTGGGCCCAAGGTTTTAACCCCACAAACACAGGTCAGAGGCAGAGCAGTGCTCAGTGCATGGGCACGGCTGGGCTCCAGCCCCAGCACCAGATCAAAAACCCCACCAGTATTGGGTCCACATTTGTTGCCATGTTTTCTTTCCTTTTCTTTTCTGAATACTGCACATGTGAGCTTTGTCTCCTCTAACAAGGAGAGCCTGATGTCTCCAGATGTTGAGGACTCTGCTTAGTTACAGCATCTGGCAGATCTCAGCTGCAGCCCATAAAAGGGGTGGTGGAGCTAAGAGTAACCACCACTGAGAGTCAACTGTGCCAACGGCATGCTTCCAAACCACTGCATACTCATGCAAATCAAACAGGAGATGAAACAGTGGCTGAGAATGTAGCCCACACCTGCATTCTTAGCTAGGTAGGAGGCTGAGGCAGGAAGATTGCAAGCTTATGGTGATCATGGGCTACACAGTGATATCCTGCCTCAAAATAAAATACAAAGTGCTGGGGACATAGCCTACTGGTGGAACACTTGTCTAGCATATAGAAGGCCCCCAGAGAGAGAGAGAGAGAGACAGAGAGAGAGAGAGAGAGAGAGAGAGAGA